ATTTTTTATGGAGTAAAGTAGCTGCCCTCTCCTCCTTGGCACCCTCTAGATCAGTGTTTCTCAACATGCTGGCTGGGGAACTCTGGGAGTTGAAGTCTATGCATCTTAAAGCTGCCAAGGTTGAGGAACACCACTTTAGATGTATGGTCTTCAATTCTCAGGATTTAAGCAATGGCAACTTAAGCAATGGTGGGAAATTCTGGGAGTTGAAGCCTATACACGTGAAGGATGCTCAGGGTGGTAAAGCTTCCACATGGTACCTTATAAGTGAAGTCTGAAGGAACACAGGTTCAACACTAAAGGTTGTGAGTGCTGCAAAAATAAAGGACAACCAAAATAATGAGGAGGCTAGAGCAGGTTCTTACAAGGAAAGACTACAGCAGCAACTGGAATGAAGGTGCATGAAAATAGACCTTATAAAGTTTTTCTCTCACTCGTAGTATTATAATTCAGAACCATCCAGTGAAACTACTTGTAGGTAGTTTGTCAGTTTTAATCAGGACTGATTAAAGGAAATACTTTTTTCTATAGCATGTAAACTATATAATTATATTGCCAATGGAAGCCCACCAATTTAAAACAAGTTAAAAAGGGAATGAATAAATTAATGGAGGATCACATGATTAGTGGTTTTCAGTTTCAATGGCTGTTTATTACCTCCCGAATCACAGTCACCATATTTAAATAACGCCTGGTAGGGAGCAACAATGGAAAGAGCCATTGCCTTCTTCTCTATGGTGTCTGGCCTTTCTGAATGTGTCTGGTTGGTCACTGGATTAGAAAACTGGATTAGATAGGCTTTTGGCCTCATCCAGCAGGGCTGTTCTTATGTTCTACCTGTTGCATTTGATTGCTGAGATTTAGCTCAGCTTGTAATAGTCATATGGTGACATATAGTGGCTGGTACATATATAGATTCATTCAGAAATAGGCATATATAATCAGTGTTTCTCAACCTTAGCAATTTGAAGATGTGTGGACTTCAACTCCCAGAATTCCCCAGCCAGCATGTTGAGAAACACTGATCTAGAGGGTGCCAAGGAGGAGAGGGCAGCTACTTTACTCCATAAAAAACACTGTTTAATTAAACAACAACAAGCAAATAGCACATCCAGAGAAATGATATTGTTAAACCTGCTCCTAACTGTGCTGTTTTTCTATTTATGAGAACATTGGACACAGAGCAAAGTACAGTACTCAGAAACAAGAGTCTGTGTTAGATTCCTGCTTCCTCCGTTCATCTGGCAGCTTCTATTCATGGGTGAGCGCAGGGATTTCAGCAACATTTGAGGGTAGAGCAGAAATGTACAAGGACTGGTTCAGGCCAGACCCCCGATTCCTATTTCATCCACACATCTTCAAGTTGCTAGGGTTAAGAAACACTGATTATATATGCCTATTTCTTAGAATAATAACAATGGAATGTTACATTAAGCTGTAATCCTTCATGAGAAAGTTCTGTTGTGAAAGAGTTGAGAATTTAGGCCAGTATTTTCTCACTGGAAGCCAAGCTGGCTGCTGCCTCTTCATCTTGTTAGACTGAAACTATGTTATTTATGTGTGTCAAAGCAAGATGTGGAGGAGTAAAACATCCAGCAAGAAAACCTGGGAAGACCAGATACTGAACACTTGTTAGAGATGTTTCCGTGGCAATACTCTTGCATTAGGTTCTGCACTAGCATTAGAATTGTACATTTGGAAGAATCGTATACAGTGTAAAGAGGAAGAAATCAAGAGGTGGAAAATGTTAGCAGAAGCAGATGGTTATGCACAGAGGCTACTCATCAAATGAAATATGTATACTTCTTATGACATATAATGGCATGAGGACTGGAATCTGGAAGGGGGATTAAAACTACTTCAGAGAACCCCACCTGTATTTGCTAAAGCAAGATGTTGTTATAAAAGAAGTTCCCCCTTTAACAAACAGTTGGGGAGGTAATGGAAGACACTGTAGCCAAAATATCATATATTGATAAGTATTAATGTATTATAAATACTGCTTTCTGGCATAATTCCATTTTCTAGCACACATCTTCAGTACAGAAGGTAAAAAACCCTGTGCAGAGTTTTATAAGCTTAACAATGGCAGAATAAGTCCCCATATCTAGTATATTTTGAAACCAGACTAAGCTGCTTTCATGGCTGGGGAAATTGTCTTTTTAAAAATTTATCACATAATATATAACTTTGTAAAGTAATTTTATGTTCCTCTTGGTGGCAATCTTCGGGCATGCCTACATTATAGACCTGTTGACCTACCATGGCCTAAGAAGGAAGGAAACTGCATTTCTCTGTGAGCACAGAGGCATCTCTAATATAGCATTCTCAGTACCTACAACTAGAACACTTACAATGCTTTAAAAGCCCTGGGCTGTTTGCAAAGGAGCATTAGGTGTAAATATGTTTCCACAGAACGGTGGGAAATGAGATTTATGAAATCAATTATACTTAGCAAGCACAAATGCTTGGCAAGAAAATAAATCACCCTGCCTTGGCTGATCTTGAAAAGTTAAGAACGGTCAGACCTAGTTAGTAGTTGAATAGCTCATCAGGTAGTTTCAAGAGTATAGGATAATCTGGGAAATTCCTGTCTCTTCACCCACCCATCCCCACCATCTGGAAAAAAAATTGGAAGAAGAGATTGACAAACCAGTTCCATACTGTTGCCAAGAAAACTACATGGACATATTCATGAACCATCACCAGCAATGGAACTTAAGTCAATGAAATCTTTACCTTTGTAAACCCTTGCATGCAAAAACCTTAGTATATACAAGAAAAAAGTCTTACAATGTTGTAATGCTACCAAAGTAGAACCAATATATGGAATAGTAACAATTTCTTTAGAAAATAAGCTGTTGTACCTTTGGTCCAGGTGCTCCTGGGAAACCCACTTCACCTGATTCTCCCTGGAAACAGGAAAGGAAAAGACCAGTGAATTTATGGTGAAGTGCTGAAAGAGACGTTGACCAAGTAGACAATGGCCAGAGGCAGTCCAGCTTCCCTGACTGGTCCTCATCAGCGAGTACCCCAAGCCTCCACTGAAGAGGAAAGATACCTACCCGTGCTCCTGTTTCTCCAGGTTGACCAGGGATGCCATCTCTTCCTGGAAGACCAGGGGGGCCCTGGAAAATAGTAAGGAAAACTTTTCCTCAGTTAAATTGAAGATGCAGAACTGTCCACAGGTTATTGTATGCAGCATATCTGTGTGGCAGTTATGCTTTGCAAAATGTGGACATCAACATCCACAGCAGACAAATAAATAAAGGCTTGATTTTCTTACCAGCATTAACCTGCGTCCAGTCTGCATGTATTTATTTATTTTTCTTTATTGTAGCCCATTTTTTATTATAGCCCAACAGTTTTATAGCCCACTTCTCCAGGAGCTCAAGGCAGCATATACGGTTCTCCCTCCTCTAATTTTCCCCCACAATAACCCTGTGAGAGAATGACTGAGGCCATAGTCACCCAGTGAGCTTCCATGGCTGTGGGTGCACTTGAACCCAGGTATCCCCAACTAGTCCAACACCTTAACCACTATGCCATACAAGCCAAATCAAATTCTCCTTTTCAGATACTCGCCTAGTTCTACTAATATGCATTAATACACAATATTCAGCATGATAACCACAGCTAGCAAAGGGGCAGGCAAAGCCCCCTCCCACCACACACACCTCTGGTAATCACAACAGAAAACTTGCTCACCATGACAGAGTCAGCTACTGGGCGGCCTTTGCACGATATTGTCCCCTTTACTCACCGGAGGTCCTGGAATTCCTGAGCTGCCATCTCTCCCTGGAACCCCAGGGAGGCCTGGGAGGCCTGGAAAGTCAGTGCCATTTGTCCCAAATCTTCCAGGTTGTCCTGGCAAACCAGGTACACCAGGAGGGCCTGGAGGCCCAGGTGGTCCTCTGGGACCCTGAAACACAATAAATATGATGTACTGTATGCTCTAACCTGACGTGTGCCCAACAAATAATACCTGTGCTGAGCCTAGCCAAAGCAATTTGCTTCCAGGCCCTACAAAACTGGAAAGAGCTGCTTGCTGAGCAAATGACACACCTTTCATGTTTGAGGAGCATGCAGCACATTGGCTTTGGGCATTCTGGTTAGAAATTGTTGGAGCAGTTTTTGGGAGTTAGAGTGTTGAAACATCTGGAGGACTCAATATTGGGGAAGGCTACTATTATTGTTTCTCTCCCTCCTCCTCCCAAATCCAGTCCAATCAATGGAACATCAGTTCACCTATTTACACGGCTTAGGTACTTACTCGCAAAGTCTCCAACTCACTTCCAAAACCAGAGCCCTCCATATCAAGAAATGTCTGGAAGAAAAGAGCACAGATGCATACAAATGATTAAACATATCAAAGCTAAATGCTTGTGAAACAAAGACCAGAGTAATATATCTGCCTAATTTCACCTACTGTGTTCTTGGTTTACATTGGGAAGAAATCCAGACAAACAGGGCATGTTAATAGATTTAGGGGAGATAGAAGTGTTATTCTGCATACACTACTTATTTTATATACTAAATCTTCCACATGTAAGGCTAAATGAACAGCCAATGAGTAATGAATATTTATGCAAATTCTCCCAGAACTGTTTACAATAAAAAGTGACAACAGTAAAAATACTATACCATGTAAGAGTGGAGCAACTAATATTTTCAAGGAATTTAGAATTATAAAAGCTGGGGAAATCCAAAGGATTCTACCTACAGCAAGAAAGGGACAGATTTGGCAAATACATCCATAGAATTCCACCCAAAGATACACAAGTGGATTTGCACTGGTGCAGTGGGACTTTTCCCTTGTTCTCCTACCTCCTGCATGGCTCCCTAAGTCTGTTTCAGATTTGAGGATGGGGGCCGCAGGGGCACATGAAATCCCTGCCGTCTGGTATTTTCATCCAGCTGGTGGAAAGTCAACTTACACGGATCTAAGTCAGGCTAAGGAAGGGAGATCATTTCCCTAAAGAGAAAGCAGAGAGCTCTCCTGGCAGCATCATTTCCTGGGTGGGATAAGGCCACGAGAACAAGCTCCACCCTGTGTCTTTATTACAAGTCTCTGGAACTCACCAACTTATCCAGTTTGGAATTCAGTGCAGGTTGCCCAGGCGGTCCTGGAGGTCCAGGAGGACCTCTTGCACCAACACCTGGTTCTCCCTAGACAGAAAGAACAAGTTACAAAGCTGAGAACACTGATCACAGTCACCCCTCTTCCATAAAACCCCTAAGTCAAAACAGACCGTAGACTACTCAGAAGATGTTGAGCTCCAATAACAGTACAACAATATTCTTATAGTACTTGTACCTTTTCACCTTTTGGGCCAGGCTCACCCGGAGTCCCAGGGAATCCTTGGGGGCCAACATCACCCTACACAAGAAATAAATACGTGTTTTGACCAAGCCTAGTTAGCTGATTTTAGAAACTCTATAATTTCATTTATCGACATAAACAAAATTGCACATTGTACGTACAGTATGACAACTGAATGTCACTTCAGTCACCTGCAGGGCTTCATACAAAGTTCATTTACACAGGATCAGCATAAACGGATTACCTCGCTAAGTCCAAATGTGGTTTACCATGGTTTATTGAACAAGTCATAATGCTAACCTAAAAATATGGTTTATAAGAAACACAGGTACAATGACTGGGTTTACGAATTATGCTAAAACAGAATTAAATAAACTACATTATGGCTTAGTGCAAGGATTCTCCAATTTTGTAGTGCCCCAACCTCCTAAAATGATCGCTGAACTTTAAAAACCCCTCCCTGCACCTGAATAAAATGAATGATTTCACTGAAGTTAGAATTGGGCAAGAAATAAATATTACATTTATCTTAATAATTAAGTTATTTAATTTAATAATAACAAATAGCAGTAATAAAGTAATAAATATCATGTCATCTGTAGGGCTTTGTATGGACATAACAAGAAAAGCAAAGTCCAGAGCCAGTTTTGACAGGGCTCCCACTTTGCTTGCGCAAACCTGATCAACCCTCTGATGGGCCCTGACCCCAGTTTGAGAACCCTTGGCTTAGTGCAGTGTGTGAATCATTTTCTATCTGATAAAACTGAGAAGCACCTTTTGCAGAGAAGTGTTATCCCCACCTTAAAGTCTGCTGGTTTCTGTTTCAATATTTCAACTGATTTGAAATGTTTCAGGCGACATTTCAATATAACTCACTACTCATAAACAAATGTGCAACAATGTAACTGAAAGTGACAAACTGCATTTTTTTAAAAAAAATGTTATAAGAGCATAATAAATATAATACTAACCTGACAACAGTTTATTCTTTTGGCTTCCCGAGTTTTGTTTTTCATATTTCTTAGGCTGGGGGCCATTTGGGGAGATTAGACTAACTCAGTTATGGTCCTAGGTAGTTTACAGGTCTGACTGCCTAATCATTACAAACTTCACTGGAATGAACTTAGAACTAGCATGCTATTTTTTTATTAAAAGGCTGGTCTGGAAATGTCTGCATAAAGTGTGGCTTAGGATACAATCTTATTCTCTTTATTTATCTGAGAGTTAACTCATTAAACACTAGGGGAGTCACTTCTGAGCAAACCTGCACAAGACTGCAATCAGATCTGTTGATGAGACACTCAGGACAGTTTTGCACGGTAACAGAGAATTTCTGAAGAGGGTATATTTCTTTAGGACTGTACAGATCAAACATGAAAAAATCATCTTTGAAATGTGAGGCACAAACAACAGAACTTACTGGTTTACCATCTTCACCAGGATCCCCCTAGAAAGAATAAAATGTTGGAGACAGAACTTAGGCACTTTTACACTGTTGTGATTTAAATTTCAAACCACTTCTATACCCCAGGCTAATTTCCTCTGCTATCTTCTCAGCAATCATAGGAGACTTGGCTGAGATAGCTGCGGGGTAGCTCACTCAGACTTGCACAAAACATAGGAAGGATATAATGGCTCGATTCTGACCCTGCTAAAAACAGTTTAGCAATATAGGTGCTCAGAGAGGAAATGAAAGAGAGAAGAATGGGAAAAGGCATTCAGACTGGCATTATGAATGAGGAGAGAAGCAAATGATAAGGACATCTAAAAGGAGCACCAACTGGGGGAAGAACCTAGAAGGACACTCCTTTTCCCAGAAGATGGAGGGGCAGTCCCCCTTCTTCCCTGGGGCCATCTGTTCATCCTCACATCTGCTTCAGAGGTTGCAGATCAGCTGGAATAGATTTGAGAAATATTGGGGGGTGCAGGATAGGGAGGATGTGTCAAGTTCAATTTACGTGACACTGGATTTTGGGATTGGAGGAACAAAATATGCAGGCAGAAAAGCGGAAGCAAAACTAAAATGAATTGAAAGAGGGAATCTGTTTGGAAGAAAATTAACTGAAAGACCAAAGAGACATCAAAGATCAGGTGAAAATTCCCTTCCCTTAAAAATGAAGATTTCCTATCCATGGAAGCAATTCCTTAGAACTTAAAACTTTTTTTACACTATTTTATGACGTATTTCTAATAAATATGGACAAATTGTGGATTTTATATAAGAGACCATCATGGCTTTGTTATTTATGTCCTTTGGAAAATATCGTATTATAGCCATTCAAAAATAATCTATCACCTAAAGAGAGACTTTGCACTTTGAAGGTTCCATTTTTTAATAAATAGTCAACTTCTTAAGTCTGGTGGGTGAAACAAAAACTGAGGGGGAAGCAAATGGATATAAAACTCATGTGAAGAGAATAAGAAAATAGATAGAAAAGGTTCACTAAAATCTTTAGGAGGATTGGGTGACTTCTACGGTGGACCTGAAAGAGTGTACCAATATGGATTTATTTGTATACAGAGAACGTAACCACATCTTGCTCATTCCAATGCATAGTAGATGCATGTATACATACCTATGATGCTATTCCCTTTCAGGGTAAGTGATGTTATGCAGAGAGCAGAAAAGGAGTAAGAAATAGTAAGATAAAGAAATTAAAGCCATGAGATAAGAAAAAGAAAATATAGATTGATCTAGTTTATACCAATATCATTCAGTATTTCTCTCCATATCTTTCTATCTTTGCAAACTGTCTTTCCTTCTACCACATTCAATCACTGCTTTATACATTGCGTTATAAACTTCTCATCTTTCTCTTCTTGAGAATCTCATCAACTCCATCCAACCACAGCTTTCTTGACCTTGCTCTTCCTTTCAACCCATTTACACTTCCTTCATATATTAGTTTTGTTATCCATTCAATCTTCATTCATTCTCTCTATATGCCCAAACATATATAACGAAATTCTTTCATACTGGTCACACTTTGTATTTAATCCACATTCATTCAGTATCCATTTACTCTTGATTCTTGTTTTACTGTACACATTTCTTAATACTTCAGTCCTATGGCATTCAACTTATTTTTATGTTTCTCCCATTACATCCCACTCTCATTTCCATATAACAAATAGGCAAAAGCATGCTCTTACACACAAACATTCATTCATCACGACAGACTACATACCACCTATTATTTTTTCCACCAGCATCTGCATGCCTAAAAAGGTCTCTGTACATTTTCTCATTAGTAACATTCTACTGAAGTACATAAATTCATCTTCTTGCCCTACTATAAGCAGTCCATTAATTCTCATGCATGTTTTACTTCCATCCATATACAACAACCAACTTTCATCTCCATATTATGTAAATTCCTATTCACTTTATTGTATATTTGTTCTAAATCAACAAAGTGATTGGTAGGATGTGGGCAACAATATGTTGGTTTACAAATAGTCTCTAGAGTAGAAATCCCAGTTTTCATGGATTAGCATGAGCACACTTGGGATAAAATCAGACTCTGGGTGTGCTTATGGCATATTGGGCAAAATCTGTACAAACAGTATTGTCCTAACTGTTAACAGGGAATGCTGCAACTGTTAATAGGGTATGCTGCATGTGACATGGGTCCAGCTAAGGATGGTACCCTTGGCTACACCCTGCATGAATGCCAATGTATAGTAGCAATAAATTAATGAACTCTAAGAGGCAAGCCTTTCCAACTCTTTCGTGCATTTCCCACCAGCTGAAATCAACCATCTTATGAAAAGGTTACTTACAGGCTCTCCATCCTTTCCAGGTTGACCATCTTTTCCAGGAGATCCTGGTGGGCCCATGGCTCCTGGTTGCCCAGGAACCTGCTCAACAGTAGAGCCATCAGGGTGCTGAATGACAGTTCCAGAAGGTCCTGGGGGCCCAACTGGACCAGGAAGCCCTGGAATACCAGGCTCACCTTTCTGTCCTTTAGAGCCTGGATATCCAAAGCCGGCACTTCCCTAAAGGTCAGGGAAATGTGAAAAATGAAAACAAGCCAAATATAATTTCTTTTGAGGTTGGAAATGGACATGGGTGTGAATCATTATCTCCCTCTATAAAGACCTTCTCGTTTCCTTTTGTCACATACAGGAAGAGCTGAGATAGGCAATTTGATAGCCTCCAGTTTCATTGGACTTCAGCCTCCATCAGTCCCCACCAGTGGCAAGGGACTACAGGAACTGCCATCCAAAATTTCTGGAGGGTACCAGGCTGATTCTCCCTGCAAGTATAGCATTAATTAAATGTACATTTGTATAAATCACAGCTTGTACCAATATAAGTTTAAGTGCTTTTCACAATATCATTTTGCAGAAAGAAACAAGCTTCTGCATAAGATCTCCTGCTCACAACTTGTTACTTATACATCAAAAGCAACAATGCAAACAGATATGCTGGCCTATGCGCAAAGGCTACACATGTTATTGCCAAAGCAAAGGTAACTGACATTAAATCTTATTGCATGCCATGCCCTCACCACCCACATGAGGTGGACCCAGATGCTGTTTCCCCATTCCAGCTACCCACCCACCATCTGAGATAGTGGAAGAAGCACAACCTCCAGTGGGGCAGGAAGAGAAACAACTTCCATGGTGGCTGAGATTATTATTATGGCCGATGCAAAGGGAAGGGGGGAAAAGGAAACAGCCCAGGCCTTCAGTCCACTAAGGAGAAACAACATGGAACAGAAGTAAAAAGAAAAAGGAGGCTGCTCACTCCCTTTCCTAAAGGGAGGAAACATCCAGGAGGGCCAAAGGTTCGACAGAGGCCATATTTAAGATGCCATGTCATGGCTAGCATCATTTCAGGAAACTTCCCCATTTTAATTTGATTGTTTTCTTGTCTGAAGGACTTGGGTTTCCAGCTGCTTAAGTTTTGAATCACCTGGAATTCAACAATGGTTATTTATTATTTTTTTCCACATCAGGCCCTTTTCAAATAATGCAAATTATGCTTAATCTTTATGTCTGTCTGTCTGTCTGTCTACCTACCTACCTGTCAAGCATGGGTGAGCTTTTCTATTTTTTTATGTTATTCATCTATCCCTCCCTCCAAGAACCATAGAAAGTGTGATAATTATGATAATCGGGATAAAGCTAGAAAATCTGACCTATTTTTTGCACATTTGTCAGGTTTATGGTGTTATATTGCTAATCTATATTCCTTTAGGGAAATTAATCCTGTTTTGATCCCCCTGAATTCCAGAATGTTTCCCCATCCTTGGTAGGTGCTTACAGAGGCTCTGCATTGCACAGTTACTCCAGAACAGATTATCAATATATGTAGAGATTGTAGTACATATTTTAAAAGGAAAAAGGAGAGGGAAGCAATGAGATACTAAATGAAAGGAACTCTTGTTCTATTTCTTGCCATGTTAGACGGTTTATGTTGATTTAACTCTTTTGCCTGGCAGCAAGAGCAATAGCCCTAGTCTAAAAATAGTGCATCCCATCAAGTTGTTGAGCAGAAAAGCATTCTGCTTAATATCATGATGGAAACTGAATTCTTTTATAGTCAGTTTTTGCAACAAGCATCTTAATTCCAAACTCTGATAATACAACATTAATAAGCATCATTCACTCCCCAGGCAAGTTCCAAATGATTAGTCATTTGGTACCAGTGGATATTAGAGACAAGATGTTGCTACAGCTCATGGATAAATATAAACTAGAGGATATCTCTATATTTAGGGATGCTGAGGGCAGGCCATCCAACTGAGTCTCTTAGTTAAAAAATCTCTTTTTATTCCTGTGCAAAGAATAGCAATTGCACATAAATAACTGCACAAAAGAAGCATTGTGTTTTAGATGGAAACCCATTAGAATCAGGAAGGGCTCCCTCACACTAACATCATTTAGTTCCTATCTTTTGCTCTAGCCTCTGGGATTGGCAGTGGGAAAATGGAATTTGGAGGCTATGGAGTTATGCCCACTAAAATCCTAGGGATAAATTAATGGATATAGGTTCTAATTTTACTTTAAAAGCATGTGAGAATGCTGCCACGAGGAAGAATTCTATTCATGGGTCTTATCAACCTACCCTCTTTCCTGGATATTCTATTTCATTCCTACCCACTTCCTGTCTCACAAGAACAGCTTTGTTACGGAAGTCCCTCAATCCCAGGGAACCGGAGACATGTTTAGATGGTTCCACTATTGAGGTGGACATACTTACTCTCTCCATGCCTGGGGTTTGTATATTTTAACTTTAATTTTAATGATATTTTAATAATATTCAATTTTAACACTGAATTTTATAATGTATATGATTGTCTTTATATACACCTTGTTTTATTTGATTATTGTATGCCACCCAGAGTCACCTTTGATAAGATGGGTGGCCAAATAAATTTGATTAATAAACAAACAAACATACAAACAGCTTTGCTGGATCCGGCCAAGGTCCACTTTAGTCCAGCATTTTGTTTCTCAGATGGCCAACCAGATTTCTCCAAGGTGCTTGGAGACATGACTTTCTCCTGTGATTGTTCCCCTACTATAGGTACTGGAGGCATGTTGCCCCCAGTCAGTAGTAATCATGAGACTTCTAGACCAGTACAATAGCCTTTGATTGACCTGTCTCAGTTTTCTATATTCCTGCCCACTCACTCAACAACTAGCTTATGCTACACCTGCTGACTGTTTGCACAACACAAAATATTAGCCTACGATGGTGTGTCACAATGTTCCTTAGAGTCTCCCACTCACTGTCAAAGGTGATGTACTAACCAAGTGTGTTTTGGCAAAAGGGTGAACAAAGAAAGGGGAGAGGGGAGAGGGAGCTATGCTGAAGCCTGTAGACCTTCTGCTGGGCTCCAGCTGAAGGAGGGATTGACGGGCACCAGGAAAGTAAAGTCCAAGTAAAGAGGAGAGCATAATGGGGAAGGGGGGCATTCTCTCTCCATGACTGTTTCTTCCTTCTGGAAAAGTGATAAGAACAGGCAAAAACTGAGGAGAACCAACAACAGCTCATGCTAGTAATGAAAATAACAAATCAGGGATGCAATAGTTTTAAAGTCAAGTATTCTTGTTTTACTTTTTAAATCTATCTATCTATCTATCTATCTATCTATCTATCTATCTATCTATCTATCTAT